TAATTAAATATTTTTAGTCAAAAATGTTTCATTATTTATCAATGAGGAATTAGCAACTAATATTGTTAAAAGAGGAATAGGGATAAGTTCACGATAGCAGGATTAGGATAGAATGGAGAAAAAAGTATGAAAATTTTTGCTTGCCATTAAAAGTCAGTGTAGTCAAATGTCCAACCAAGAATATACTAAATTTTCTTTCTACTAAGGGGAAAAATTTAAAAAGAAATATAAACTTTCAGAGACTTGTATTTGAATCAAAAATTTTCTACCATTTCAATCTGATTTGAATAAAGTATTTCAAAACTATAATTTTTTTTCAGTTGATTAAATTTGGCTCATTTTTTTTGTTTTTAAAATAATTTTGACTTCAAGTTAGATCATTACATTATAATACTGACTTGTCTCCAGTTGAAGTATAAAAAAGTGTTATAATCAATAGAATAAATGAACAAGAATTAATGAGTAAAAATTTGAAGTAAGATTATAATCAATGAGAAAAAAAGTTGTTGATAAATAAAACCAGTGCAATGATAATATTTTTTTTTTGCTATAAATTAGCAAGTTTTGCGTCAAATTTTCCAGGTCGGGAAGTTTCTCTTGTAGTCTCATTCAAATATCTTGAATAATATCTATTAACTGGTGAATTTAAAAGAGGTAAAAGTATAAAAAAAAAGTTTTTCAGAAAATTTATATGATAAATACTGGCATTTAATCCAAACAATGCAGAAATGCAGCTGATAAAAAACGTGATTTATGTAACTACATTGCATAATAAAATACTTGTTCAAAAATAATTACATAATTGCTAATTTCACAAAGCAACAATAGTTTACCACTTTCTCAGAATTTTGATAACTTAATCAATACTAATTTATTGACACAAAGATAAATATCTCAAGGTCAGATGCATGTACGACAATGCATATTTAATGTCAGTTGACTACACCTTTTTTATTTAGCCTGCAAAAACAAATATAGATCTTGCAATTTCTTTTACCATCATTACTTCTATTGATGGAAAATAGCATAAACATTTTGAAGTTTATATTGACATTTACAAATATTAATTTGACGATTTATTTTTATAATTTTATTAAATTTTACAACTATCGTGACTTTCATTCCCAAATGAACTTTACAATTATTTATAATTATAATACGATAATATTTTTCATTTACAGTGATAGTCATTATTGTTTCTTAAATTCAACATACACTGACTAAAACAATAATTAAAATGTTGATCTACGTTAGCCTTGTTGTTATTATTATCACTTGTTTTCATATGATTTCATGGTCCTTTTTATTATTTTTAATTACTTACTCTTGTCATAAAAATTTTTTTAAAACTAATTCATTTATCATCCCTTGTATTCTTTATTGGTTACTCGTCATAAATCTTAAAATCAAATAAATCAAGCATAATAGAACCTTAAAACAAACTTTATTTTACCAACCAAACTTTTCATCAGGAATTAATACTACTTATCGAATAATGCAAAAAGTGCAGAATAGCGTGACATAGGCAATAAAAAGTTTCAATCCTATTCCAGCGAGATATATAGATGGTAGAAAAAAGGAAAGGGTCAATGTCGGTTTATATTGCTGGACGTTAAATAAAAATGGCAATAGTTTGTCTCAGTCTGGCCAATATCCTCTTGTACAATCCTTTTTATTAACAATGGATTATCGATTGCGAAAGACCAATAATAATTAGTAAAAAATTAGAGGGAAATCATTAAGAGTTTTCTGGATGTGTGAATGATGATTTTTATATAGATTTTAGATTTATTCTAGGAAAAAGGAATGCCTTTTGGCAATGTTCATTTCTTCTTTTGCATCTATTGTGCGTGAAACGACTGCGTTTTTACTATTGCTACGCATTCTGGTCCTTAGTTTTGCGTGGCAGTGACGTGCGAAACAATGCATCCTTTTCGATTTATACAGAATTTAGTGTGACAGAACGAAATTTATGCTCTTGATTGAGACAGCTGGCAAAAAATTACCATCTGTTATTTAATTTATTGAGTAAAATTGAAATCATAAAAATAGTTTTTTATAAATTTAAAAAAAAAAAACAAGATAACTTTCGATATTTTTTCTTCAAATTTATGTTCATTTCAAATATTTTAATTCTAAAAGAATGTTTACTTGATAAGCAAATACAACAAACTGGGAAATGTAAAGTGAATATTTTAAATGAAATGAATTAATCAGAAGTTTGTTTATTGGATCAAGTGTTATTAAGATCATATAAAAAAAGTTTTTTATAAATAATATTCCAAAAAATTTCTAATCGAATCCCACTAAATTATTGCTTATTTAGCATATAGAATAAATAAAGTTCTTGTATTTCTAAAAATAAACAAAAAGACAAATAATTGAATGAATTGATTGGGAACTACAGTTATTTATAACTATGAGGAAGAATAAGAATGAAAAAGCCTAATAATTTACATGAATAGACAATTTTAAGCACCAGAATAATCATAATAGACAGATAAATATTACGCTACGAATTTTCCTAAAATTTTGTCAGTGATCTACCTACGCACGTCACGGCCAAATGGCCATACTGACAGACGATTCATTCTGCTCTACTCTTTCAATAGAAAGTATACATGTGTACCTCATCTATAACTTATAAAATTCACCGCAGCTGTTTGGGTAAGAGTATAATTCTGTTGGTGAACACAATGGATTAAGAAAAAATGTTTCAATATAGAGTGATGTATACATAAGAAACCCCCTCATTGGATAAAAAGCTGATGATAAGCTGTTGAAAGAAAGGGAAGCTTTATCGTTCAATTACTCTAAACCGCTGGAGACAATTTGTTTGATATTGAATAGTGGATTTATTTGAATTCCAGTGGAGAAAAATTGAAACTAAATAAAATAAATTGTCATATTACAAACGTTTCTCTTTTTTTTACATACATATTAATTTCGAAATAATTTTAGTTTATTAATTTTTTTCTCAACCAATAATATTAATATAAATTATCAATGATTCAATAATATCAATTATAGAATAATAATGTTCAATAAGTCATTAAACAAAATTCTTTTATCTTTAATTTATTGATTTATTATGGTGAAGCATTTCATAAAAATTGTATTTTGAAAAACAACATTCTATGGTAATAAAATACTTTAATTTACTTCCTACTAATTTAAATGAAAGTTAACATTTGAAATGTTTCGAAAAAAATAAATCAAGAAAAAATGATCTCAGTGAGTAATGGATAGTTGTAAGTGATTATAAGTTTATAAACTCAACAATTTTTTTTTCGATAATACTTGTCATTGTACTGTTACGATCTTTACGACTCCAATTCTATGTACAAGTGCTTTCACATCTATAGGAGTTTTACATACTGCAATTAAAAAAATAAATAAGTATCAGCTTCAAATCAGATAGAATACGTTCAACATTAATACAATTAAAGAAATTATGTAAACTATTTATTTTTATTTATCAACAATAGTAAGAATATGATTATATGAATTATGAAATTTGTAATCATTGTCAAATTTGTTGATTAGTTAGAAAGGACTTTAATTAAAATTGAAAAACAGTAATTAGGATTTGATGAAATGAAATATTAAATTGTCTTTGACTAAAAAATTTGTAAACATTAATATCTTTAAAAGTTTACTATTAATTTAATAAGAATATTTTTCAAAGTAATTGACCTTATGGATGCTACGTATGGTAATTACACAAGTGATTCGATGTGGGAGTAATTGACACTAATAAGGAAAAATTCTGCCACGTGTTCCATATTAAAACAATTAATAGATTATCATGATAACCTGTTGCTCCATATACCAATTATTGATTACTTTACATTTTAACTAAATTCACAAAACAATGGTGACAATGTAGGTGTTCATGATAATTATTTTGCTTCATTAATCTTCACATGCACGCAAAGACGAGGATTAATTAATAACATTACCCCTTTGGCATTATGCGTGACTGGACATTACTAATTTGGCTCTTTTAAACAAAGAATACATTGACATGCATTTAGGAATATTTTTAAAACTAACGATCAATAGATTATTTTATAAAATATTCTTTAGAATAGCTATTAATGATCTTCAAACAATACATATGACGTAACAAAGAAAGAGAAAATATTTTTTCAAGCCAATATTGACGATAACTATCAATAAGTAGTAAATTAAAAAGTATAATTATTGAATTAAATTTTTCCTCTTGTATCTAAACAAATGGAGTAATAAGTTTACACAAAAAAAATGTTATGAAATAATAAGAAGAAATTCTTCAAGACTTCTCATATTAAAAGTTCAATAAAATATCTCGAATTTAATAAGCTAGCTTTTTCATTTATTGAAAGCTCAATAGTAGAATTTAAACATTATGAAAAAATAGTTTTTTATATACTAAAATTGTGAAGCTAGTATTTTTCTCTTCATTGTTTTTATCAAACAAAATCAAATAAAATTACTATTTATTTATACTTTTTCTCTATCTTTACAAAGTGAATTGCTCTACTATTTAATGGCTGGAAAACGACTGTTTATTTTTACAAAATCGTTTGAGAAGTTTTCATAAACTACAACAAATTAGTAAATACAAAATATTTAAATGAATTAGTCTCTTAATTAAACCAATAAGTGTCTATAAACTGAAAAATAGAAAAAAATAAATTAAATGCTTTTATTAATAATTATTTTGAGGTAGAGAATTTTCTTTTCCTGATATTTTGAATTGACGATAATAAATTATGTCCATCATTCGAAGTCATTGTCACAAGTACATGTGGAAGGGAGATATGGAGCATCTGCATATGCTATGCATAATCTGCATACGTTCGATACTTAAATACAATACTTTTCGAAACGACGCAACGTCGATGCAGGTCGATGTCTGACTTTTGTTGCCCCATAACAGACCATGTTATGTACACAAATGTATTATATATAAATAAATATTGAAATGTAGTTTTGGTACAAAGATATAAACTTACCTGAAGTCAACGACGTGAAAATGGTCAATAATACACCAAACTCCAATAATCGAATCTCCTTTTTATTCTTCAAGTTATCCATTGTTACTTTTTCTCTAGTTCAGCAAAATCCAAAGAAGAGTATAGAAATGGATGAGTCTAACACCGCAGTGCGTATTAGTCACTGCAATTATGCGACTCCATCGAATGTAAATCACTGGTTTCTAATTAATTATTCATCGAAACTCGAGTAAATTTACAACTTTGGTGCTCTCGTGCACTCGTTGACATTTTCACCCTTGTCTTATACCTAATTATCCATAAAAAGAATCCGGACTTATTACCAATATTAAGATATACCAGTTTTAAACTTTTTAAAACAGTTTTTCATATGCGTAACACGTTGACCATTAAGCTGACTTTTTATAATATAATTCTTTTTACTTTCTTTTTACAATATTTTAAAATTTATAACTTTAACTGGAAAAAATGAAGACATTAGACTTGGTAATTTTTTTTGATTTTATATTAAATTTAAAATCTGAATTATACTATCTTTTCATCCTAATAATTTATGTTTAACACTTCCATACTAATTTAATAGTTTATTCTATAATTAAAATATCAAACTATCATTTGTTATTATTCTTTCCAATAAAATATATTTTTTTCTTTATTTATCATTTTTAAGAATACTTTCATAATTTGTTTAAATAAAATTTGATAAAATCAATCATCTTTCAACTTTCGAGTTACGGATAGATAATTTATTAATACTTACACTATGAAGGTATAAAAAAAATGTCAAATAAAATAATTTATCCATTTGAGTTTAACATTTATCCCTTACAGCAATTATAAATACAATAATTATTTGAATCTGGCGGGCAATTCACCCGACGAACGTTAAACTATTTTTATTCAACCGGCTTAATCAAGCGTCGTCCCGACACACCGGTGTTAGGACCGATACTAAAGCATTACAGGGCGCACATTGTTATCAGACAATTTTTCGCGCGTGCGCACGAGTCGAAAACCACCGTCTGCCGGACTCTTTAACTCTCTTAAAGGGTAGGATAATGTGTTCTCGTCCAAACTCACCTCGACACTTTTTCATCAAGTTGACTACGTGCCTTAGAACAGACACCCCATTATCTTTGAATTGACTTTGAGAATTTTCATTCAAACTCTATTAACATTCATTTTCATCTAAATATACAGCACTTTAATTGCAATATCAAGCGGATAGTAATGTTGTACAAAAGTAGCAAATTTTTATTCACTATAATCAATAGTCATCTCTCAACTTTTAGCTTAACTTGGCATTGTCTTTCAGTCGATATTCAAGTCCCCTTTATTCTAATTAAATTAAAATATCGATTCCTAGCCATAACTTGTATCCTTGCTGCTAAGAAATTCATTCAAACAACTTTGTAGATATTTTATTCAATATTGTTCTTTCGAAAAAAAAAAAAATTTTTGTTATTAAAAACAAGTATTATTAATTATTATTGAACTCGAGAATTAATTGTAAAATAATTAAAAAGTTATTAAATTGATAGGAAAATCTAAATTATGGGAAAAACGTCAGCTCAAGTCTCAGTCAGAAACGCAGAATAAAAAATAAGTCGTTTGTTGTTATAAAAACATTCGTTGACTGTTGATTTTAATATAAAATACCTAACCATATGGCTGTAAATATTATAAATAATATATAATTGTTGATAAATCTTTTAAATAATCATTATTTAAGAAAAAAAAAATTCTATTGCTTGATATTAAGTTTAGTTGAATTATCTTCTAGCATTTATATTATCAACTTCTTTGGCAGCTTTTTTTGCTATAAAAAAGAAACTGCTGAATTGAATTCAATGAAAACTTAATCAATTGTTGATTGTGTGAATGTACGTTGAATCAGATTGGTCGAGAATCGATATCATCATTTGTTCTTGAGATAAGAAATACGAAACAAAAAATCACAAACATATGTACACACACACAAAGACATTATTTTAAGAACAGTAAAATTGGACATCAAGGACCTTGGAACGTAGAGATACATCCAAATTTGAACTTCATGAAATCGAACTCATTACAACTTCTAAATAAATTGTCAATTAGAATAAGATTATATCAATTGACCAATAGTTTTCATGAAAGGAGTAAGTTTTTAAGTTTGATAGATGTCCAATGAAATGAATGCACTTATTAGATTGATGAAGAAATAGAGAAACAGCTGGAATGACTTTGTATCGTTGTGGAATTTGTATACAATGGAAATTGTTAGCATTTTTCTAAAAATCCATACAGGAAACAATCATTTCACTGATATCCACAGAACTCTTCTCTATAAACACTCTTTAAGGCCAACTATATTGCTGCAAAATAATTTTCCAATTCATTTTAGAGTAATTTGTTTACCTGTTTTATGACGGAAAGAATTTATTAGTAGATAACATAATTGGAAATTACGATAGAATAAAATTAAAAGTATGTAAAAATCTTTGATAAATATTGTCATTTCGTTTTAATAAAAATCATAATAGTTGAAACTAAAAATAAAACACTCTAGAGTTTCGATTAATTATATTCAGAACAAACAACAGCTAGTTTATTGGTCAAAATTTACAGTTCATAATCTTGTAATACTTTTAATAACACAATACGAATGTCGAAATAACGAGAAGGGAGATTAGAATGATCCCCAATTCCTGTAATCCTCTTATTGAGACATTGTGTGTATTCACATGCCTTAGCTTCTTACTCGTTTTATCCCATTTCGTAGCATCGTCCAGTTAACATCGATTGACTAACATACACTTTTACATGTAAGCTGCATCCCCTGATGGCTCTATTCATGACCATGAAAAACAAATAGTGGTATTAAAAATATTCTTGATGAAAAAGTACAACGATTTTATGCATAATAATATGACATTTTTCTTATTTAATTAAATTGCAATTTTTAAAAGAAAAAAATGATAGTATGTCGAAATAATTGAAGCGACAAAACTGTTAGCTGTCGATGCTTCCGCATTCAACGATACTCTAATGTACAGTTTCTTGCATTTTACCGGAAATGATAATGGAAGGTTAGCAACTGAGAGTTCTCGGAAATTTGAGAGCTCAATGCAACTTGCTTTTAAAAATAAAATGAGTTTTGGAACATGGAGACATGCATTTTAGTTCTCAATGGATGATCTGAATGATATATATTGTTCATTGCACTACATAGATTTTGTCAAGTGCATCATCGGTCAAGAAGATGCTTTCATATCCACGTTAATGTTGGTTAGATAATGAAATTCAGTAATTTGTATAATAAATTATTCCTCTTTATTACTTTTAGTTGATGTTATTTACAGATTTGATAAAAATTATTCGTACGTTTTCGAGTAATAACTATTAATGCTTTATCCGCATGTCGATAAGAAACATTAATAGCTTTGCATCTTTTTAACCGTTGAGAATTAATAAATAAATGCATATATTAAATAAATTAAAATAACTGTAAATAGATAAATGTCACTAAAAATAAAATTAACAGTTTAATTTTACTACTTTTTTACAAATAAAAATGAACTAAAAATTCTTTACTTTTAGTGACATTTCTTTTGAAAGCTTACAGCTTTTAGCCCAATGTTCTAAAGCTTTCAAGAATTCACTCCAGTTTCAACCCCAAAAAATTTTTTCACTCGATTGACAGTTAAAAGATTGCTAAAAAGTTTAAATTCTTTCGAGCATTGGTCTAAGATGGATGTATTACACTATCATTTTTAATCTTCTTTTTACGTACGAAACTGGCATAAATATGTCTAAATAACCCACAAATTATCAAATACTCCAACTTTTAAGCTCAAAAAAATTTCTCAATTTTTTTCTTGTCTCATATTTTATATCAACCAACCAATATTTCATGTATATTTAAGTAATCATTTTTTATCCTCGACATAATATTTTATAAAAATTTATTTATTGTGAAGTGAGTTTTAAAAAAAATTTATTCATCAAATGGCTGATAGTTAAATTATCTTATGTAGACAAATGGGAAATACAAAAAGCCAAATTACTTAAGTCCTTCAAGTGTCCTAAATTTACTGTTGCATAGAAGTGTTAATCACTTTTATAATTTTACTTGAAGCATCATATTCTTCATTTGCGTTCTAAGAAAACAAAAGCTACTGGAGAATGAATGAGGGTGTATGACAATAATACGCAAGTCTTCGCCCTTTTCCTGGTTTTTCATTTCATTTCCACCAAAAGTGGATGTCCTTATTTGTGTCAACTAAAAGTTTGATTTAATGCAGGGAATTTAAAACAAGAAGATGAAATAAAAAGAAAAGTAACTAGACTAGGTAACAAAGTAGAGCGAAATCTTAGAATAAAAAATAGTTGAATATCGTTGGTAAAACTAAAATTACAACACATCTTGATAGTTGTTTTAATGCGGAGAGAAAAATACAAGGATTGAAATTAAATAAATGAACATGTTATCAATGGTGAACTGACTCAGCTAATATTTATCACCAATCATGCTCTTATGTTCTTCGTAATCACATAATTACTTGATAAATAAAGGAATATAATATTTTATTCTACATATAAAATGAAAAATTACTGTGAAGTTTATCAAGCAAGAATATATTCATGAGCGACAATTGAAACAGTGACTTTACGCCTTGTTTTCTTACCATGACTTTGTGAGTAAACCATATCATGGTCAGAAGAACTGGCAACGCAATGACATAATCAAGAATCGATATCAGGCTTTGATGACGTTTCAGTAGAGTTTCAATGAGAACCAGGTCTTAACTTCATTAATAAATTATATTAATAATTGCACATTACGAGGATTAAGATGTTCTTGCTGCATCTAATTATATCCTTGTGGATGAAGCGAACTTTGGAGATCTCATGATTATTATTCTACTAAATCTCTAATTACTATCTCTAAAAGTAGCCTATTACAGAATACAAGTTGTACACATTAGCTTATTTGTTAATTTCCTATAGTTCATGTCTAATAAATTTTTGTGAGTAATTGAAAATACTTGTGAAAAGTTTTAAATTTTTATGATAATAATTATGTCGAAGATATAACAAAAGAATAGTGATACTTTGATTTGAATACGTAAAGAAGGGTGCGAGTTCTTTTCTTGTAAATATATTTATGTTGGCACATCGAAGAACGTTATGTAGTAGGGTAGACATAAAGCAACGATGTCATGAAATTTTTTTTTCTCCAGCATCCCAACTTCTCAGTTTATCATGCAGTGCGTTAAGACGCAATGGGGTTTTCCCTGCCTGGTGAGTCACTGCTAGAATCATCCCCTAGTAAGTACGTAAGAGATTGCAATAAAATTTTTGATCATTTCGTTGTTATTTCTTTTAACTGATAAATTTCTATCATTTTTATCCAATGAATTTACAAAACATTTGATCGATAATAATTTACAGTGAATGAATGCATAACGATGGATCTGATTTTTATAAAATCTTGTCATCGACTTAAAATGATCATTTAAGGTCCAATGATCTTGAATAATAATTTAGTCAGTAATTTGACAAAAAAAATATGTAATAAACAGTTTTCATGTACTTTAAAAAAGAAAGCTTTTATTTTTTTTTTATTTGTAAATTTTTGGCACAGAGCAAATGAATATGTATTTAATTTTGTACATAACCGTCTTCAACAAAATTGATTATATTAGTTCTATCTACTTTATAACTTACTGATAAGTGTTCTGTTAGTTATTTGATTCATGATGAAGCAATAAGAATTTAGGAAGTTAAGAAAGCATCAGCGATGTTGATCATATAGTCTCATCCAACTAATTCTAAAATAATGCTATAATAAATTTAAAAAGAACTCTCTCTTAAAGTTACAGAACAAGCTTTTCAAAAATAATTTTATTTTTAATGCAAAATGTGTTGGACAAAAATATTTTCATAAACAAAAAATTCAACTTGCAGTGTTTGTGAACTTTTCTTTGGGATAAAAAAATTTTTTTTACTCTTGTTTTTGTGAAGTTATTTATGAATAATTCATAATTCTAAGTCGTTTATCCATTCTCATAGTACATGTACTGCAGTCTGCGTGTTTGAAATTTTCACAATACGAACCATCAGTTTCAGCTAACTTGAAAAATTTAAAACGAATAGATTTTTAAAATATCTTATTAAAAAAAAAGTAGGATTATGGTCCAGTCGGTAATATGGTCAATTCGTTTATTTTTTAAGCAAAAAGTGATTTATAAACCTACTTTCATCTTTAAATAATTATATAATCATTATCATAATATTATTATCAGTCTAATTAAAATTAAGAGCAATTATGAACAAAAATTTAAATAAAACCATCATGATAAGAACGAAAATTTTTGAATGAAAAAAAATTACTCTACGATTTCATGACAGTATTGCCCTTATTAAATCATAATCAAAATGTTCATGCTTCAGCATAATATTTCAGAGAAAATTGAAAATGATTCATTTATCATCGTGTACACTTTATAGGTATTAAAGCTACATATTAATTATTTACTATGAAATAATATATAAATAAAATAATTAGTCTCATTGAAGAGAGGGAGGTTGTTTAGAAATTCCTGTTACTTTATTTGAAAGAAAATTTCATTGATGTAGTAAAAAAAATTGGTCATGCCATGGTAACTTTTTTAATGGAATAATTTTATTTTAATGACCTATAGTCTTCTAACACATGATTCGTATCGTTAATGTGTTACGTTGACGTAAACGCACCAAAGAATGGGCGTGTCTATTGTCTTTATTACTACCACAAAAAGGTAAAGTGTATTCAGGTTAATTAACATCTATTAGCTGTTGGGTGTCATCCTGCATCCTGCTTAATTGACCTTTGTATTAGTACTTTTTTCATTTGTAGAGAAGCTAAAGAATTACTACATGCTCAATTAATATGATTATATTTGATAGAATTTACATTTGCTATTTTAAATAATGCAAAAGGACATCATATGTTGAGATTTTTCGAAAATATTTGTTATTATAACAAGAATAATTGATTTTAAAATAATGAAGAAGTTATATCAATAAGCTACACTCATTAACAGATACAATAAAGAAAGATAACGAATTAAAAATTTTAAAGGAGTATAAAAATTCAGTACAGGTAAAATGAATGATGTGCAATTGATCTGTACTTTTATTTGTAACAATTTCTACCTTCACAGCTTTGGTTTTCTTAGTACTCTTTTAAATGATTTCTCCGACAGTCGGTATAATAGCTTGCAATCATAAATAAGTTTTTTGATAACCACTGGTGATAATGACGGTCATTTGACGGGTTTGAGGCTGGGCTAAAGTCAGAAAATTTCCCTACGTTAACTTTATGCCCTCGCGTTATAGGGTGGAAGGTCGAAGTTCGATGTTAACTGAAATTAGGTAGGTAACAAAGTTATTTTTAATAATACTACATTGTTACTGACTTTTGACATTTTATGATAAAGAAGATTCGCGAATTTCCTTTAATTTTCATGTTTTACTACAGATGGAATAGGTGACAAATATTTTGTTGTCATTTTTAAATAGGACCAAGTTCCAGAAAAATTCTTGAAAGAATTCAGAAATGAGCAAGTGACTCTCTCTGAAATAAAAAAAATATAATTTCCAAAACAGCAACTACAAAAGCTTTGCACAGTGACACGAATGTACTTAAAATAATCACTCATGCTTCGATTTACTTATAATAGAAAATAATTTTTGAATTGAAAGATTATTGTGTAATACCATGTTAAGTCATGGTTTTTTTTGTCTGTATATTTTGCTGAATTCTTTTCAAATTCTCTCAACAAAATTTCGATCTTCACTCAATCTTAAAACTGATTTTAAAAAACCAAAAATAAATCTTTTCTTTAATCAAAATAACTTTTTTAAATACAGTGTCTTAATTGCGCGCGTTTCGCATGCGCTTTGAGATCATTTACATGAACATTTCAAAATTGTAATAGTTTTTTTATGGTTGAAGTAGTTTTTTTTTGACGGAATCTATCTTTTGATCTATCATCTTTAATATATAAGATCATTATATTAAATTTTAATATCTCTGCCAAAAATTTCATGTTCCTTTTATTTGCATTTCCAAGCGTCCGCTGTAAACGAATTCCCTGTGGCACCGCATAGTCAGATCCTTAATATGAAATTGCATAACTTTGCATACCACAGGCATTGGCAGGGACGTCAGTGGTTGGGGACGCTTGTACCTTAATACTGTAACTCTTAAGTCCTTTGACCGAGCGGTCAAATAAATACTAATATTCGATATAGCATAAATTTTCTTTTATGCATATAGTTTCATATAATTCATAAAATTAATGACTTGTCTTTGATAGAGTTATTGATAAAGCCCATGTTAAACATCAAAGATGTTGTGTATTTTGTCATTTAAATTATTTATCCAAAATTTTTAATAGTTGAAAGAGAAAATATATTAACAAATTTTCATAATTTTTAATGCATTGATAAATTGAAAAATTGATAAACGAAAAGCACAATAAGTGTTTTTCAGCTTATTTTGACAAATTAATAAATATTTTCAAGCATTTCACTTTACCTTTCCTTCCTCTACTTATTACACTTGGTGAATTAAGCGCAAACCAATATTATGAAATGTATCAGAAGCTTTAATATGAATTTTAAAATCTAAAACTGATTTTAGCGAAGCAATTATAGGATGAAAAAGTATTTTAATAGATTAAAGAAATCCATTAAAGGATGAATTAAAATCGCATGTTTACTTTTTAACAAATCGAATAACTGTTGCATTATATTTTTTTTACCATAAAAGGATTAATCTATAAATTGTTTAATGAAAAACTAATACATTAAAGTAAATTATACTACTTTATTACTGTGAGTATTGATGAAAACGTATTCATAAAACAATTTTTCTATTTGGTATTTCATTGATTTCTTATATTTAAGTCTAAGTTTCTAGAAATAAATGATGTACATAATTGAGGAAAAAGTTAAAATGTTTATTCATCCAAAGTAGTTGCTCCTGTAATCTAAAATGATCGAAAAGTGTAAATTGTAATTCAGCACAGCTTTAAGTATATATGATCATGCATAAATATATGGCCGGAGCACGCGTCTCTTCACGATCGAGGCAGTTGAACGATATTCCAAAGTTTTCGTCTAGCAAACAACCGGATATGTGCCTCGAGCTAATTAACTAGTAGTGTTGTAAACAATCTGTAATATCCCAATTTACTCCATGACCCGAGAAATTTGATCGTACTATCACGATATAACTCTGTGTATATAATTCGTCTATTATCATCATTCACCCTCTTCATCAAATTGTAACTCTCTTCTTGGATTATTAATGGAAATGATAAAGTAAAGAGAAGGAAAAATTGAAAATAAGAAAAGTTATAAAAAATTTATTTTATAACAATTATTTGAAATTAAAATTAAAAATGTTCAGAAAGTTTTTAAGTTAATTTATAACTTTTTTCCTCATCAATTTCACTCTATTTCCTCCACTCTCAATATCGATTGTCTAAGTGTAAAGTTTCACTTTGAACTTGTTAAAGGCACTTGAATATCTATATCCATTATTCCACTTAACGACGCAGATCAACTACGGAAGTTTAATAATTATAAGAGGTATTCTTACTTCCATATCCTTCTTCTGTCCCCAATTCTATAAAATGATTTCGAACAGATTTATTTTCTCATCACATGGACAAGTCTCTGTCTTCGTTATAACTCCATGAGTTTATGAAATTTCACACATTTTTACTCTTATGTTGACTACGTTGATGAAGTTTTATACTTTTTGCTTTTTATTCTTAGCGTAAAGAATGACATAATTAAACAGACTGAAAAATAATAGAAAAAACTCATTATTCATTAAAAATACTTTATTAATAATTCATCAAATTAGGATTTTAAAACGTAGTTTACTATAGTAATTGTTTAAAACAGTAAATTAATCATTTATAATTTTTAATTAATACTCTTAGTGCCACAAAAAAAAAAAAAAATGGAATAAAAAACAATGAATGCACTTTACAGATCTGACTTTTGGCATTATCGAAAGATGCTTTGAAAGTTTGTACGTTAATTAATTCACCAGTTAGGAGCTTTCAAAGTGAATGGAAAACTTTTACTCCGATAATGAATATCTCATTGAGAAAAGAGTACGATGAAAAAAAATAAATTAAAACTGAAAGTGAGAATATTAATGATTATCTATGAATTTCCTATGAGATAAAAAAATTAATTAATTGATTAATCAATTAATTCATTTTTAGTACTGTTTAGAAGTATTTCAAAACACTTTTTTTCAAAATTACTATTCAACTAATTTGTTTTCTTTATCAGAACGAACTTTAATTAAATACTTTGTTGAAATTCTCATGATATGATAAATTAATTACAATGATAAAATGTAAAACTTACCTATTAACAATGCACCCATACCCATAAAGGCACTGATACAATGAATCTCTAGAAGTTTTGGAAATACAAGGTTTCCAACAATACTTCCTAAACTTCCAATGTTTGTAATAATACTGAGAGCCGTCTTTCTAAAATAAGATAAAATTTTATGAATAAAGTGGGTTTGTATTTAATTAATTAGTTGAAAAAGATAAAGGATCAAGCTGATGAGCTTATTATAAACTTCGTCAAGATATCAAGACAAATGGAATTACCTTAACGGCATGGGAATGACGTCGGCGTTAGCAGCGATAACTATGTTACTTGTCATTCGGCTCGTGACAACAATGGCTGCTGATAGGGTCAACATTAAGGGCACAAGTTGTGCCCAATTAGTCCCGAAACTGCTGAGTATTGCCAACAGATAAGCCAGTACTAAAAATGTTCAGAAGATATTAATTTATTGATAACGTTTCTGTTGAAAAATTCTCGATTAAATAGGGAGATATAATATTTTATTTTCAATCGACTGGGTAATTTATGTTGTGGATTAATAAATAGTTGGTTTATTTTTTTCAATCAATTAAAATATATATTGGATTATATTGGTGTTTTTTTTAACGCTAAAAATTTTGTAAGTGTTGCTTTATCTAATTCTAAAAATATCATTGGAATGATTATAATTAATAAGTGACTGAAAAGCTATTTTAAAAATGATTCCTCTTTTATTGTGGTATATTGTTGTATTAAATTGATATGAAAAAATTTTGCACATGTCACTAGTTATGTATTATTTTTTTAATTGAAAAAGAGATCTATGATATAAAATATAACGATAAGATCTTTTTAAACTATCATTGAGATTATTTTTAGACTCGCACTTTTAATTATGTGGATTTTATATTAGAAAAAAAAACGACAAAATTTTACAGTAAATTTAAGTAATTAATGATTTAAAAAAGCTTTAAGTTAGAGCTTAAAAAATCTAAAGCTCATTATGCTAATGATTCAAATTATAAAAAGTTTGAATAATTTTATATGCTTTTACTTTTAAGTTAATTTTTATCGAAAAAGTTGTTCTCGCATTAAACTTTATTCCTTGAGCTTACTGATTTTGCGATACTTTTTCCTCATTTCAAATATTTCAGATGTTATAAAAGTTATAATAAATAATAACTAGTTTATACCAACCCATAACGACTTTCTTCCTTAATTTCGTCGTGTAAAAAAGACCAATTACAAATGAAAACCCAACTGCTGAAGCCGCAATAATTGTTGAATTGATATAAACACTAGGATTTATAAGCCACTGGAATAGAAGGTAATTTAATGTAGTTGTGAAATGCGTATGATAGTACTTGGTGTTATCGTAAAATAATGTGAAATGCGAAATGCTAGAACAAATGAGAGATGCTGATTCATTGTTAACTACGTTTACAGTACCGACGTATTACCCGAATGCAAGTGTGATTTGCATAGAAAGTCTCGTTGGTGAGGCCTGGGGGAATCACGCCTGGAATCAAGTACTCGCATATCGTTGGATTGCCGCGGGCAGGATCCCACAGAGAGTAGTCAAAGTTGTTGATTATGATGAACATGTGTGGTACCCAAAGCCGCATTGTGTTGAATCTGTCGATGAGATCATTGTTACTACTTTATGCTTCTGTTTTATTTCAAATTGTTTTTATCATTCATTGGAAATCACTTGATTACTTACGATAACATACTTCCAAATTGGAGTATCATGATAATAACAAATGGACCCAGATATGGCCTTTTGAATATAAGTTTGGTATTTTCCCATGTATCATGGATTATTTTCAAACTAGCTTTCATTGATTTTTTCTTCAGTCTATTGTCTGGTTCTTTCAGAAATTTGATCTAAAAAAAAACGTTATAAGATTTTATTTGATGTCGATTTGGAAGTTAATTAATTTATTGAAAAATTATGATTGAAATGAGATTGATCAGCTGCAAAATGTATTTTAATCAAATGTCGTAATAAATGAATTCATGCAAAACGTCGGTTATTAAAATTCATATAATATTAATTATTTATTACATATTTATTACTCATTTGATGCGCGTTGCTGTTAGTAGGTTAAAGGTATTTACAAAAAATAATACAATAAAAAAACAATAAAAAAAATTGTGGAAAGTTTTATGACAATATGATTAGATTATATTTATTGGAATCATTATTTTGTTTATTTTATCAAAATACAAGCTTTAAAATGTGTTTTTGTAGCAGATTAAATTGAAGAATGACTTTTAATTCGAATTAAGGAGGGATTATGGTTTGCAATGAAATTGAATTATTTTGCGAAATCGTTAAAAATCACAACAGCAGATTATAACTGATTTGATAAAAAGATTAATTTCTTTCCAATTATCATGTACTTTTTTAATCTGATTGTATTAGCACATCATAATTACCGGATAAGTATCAGCAGGTGCTCGGTTGTTAACTACGTAGATTCTCCTAAATAAGTCATACGCTCTAGGCAGGTATCCATTGTCCATTAGACACTTGGGACTTTCCGGAAGAAAGCTCATTATCACGAATCCAAGAATAGATGGTATAGAACATAAGAGAAGATAAATTCTCCAGGCGTCATATTTCTTATCAAAAATTACGAAAGACCACGGTAGAGGAGTTACGTTGAAAGCCAGTACTGTTGACAATCAATAATTGTTTTATTATCTTTAGATGCATGTCTGAAAATATATTGGAAATCCTAGCGTATAAAGGTGTTTCAAAATCTTTTCTCTTGGATTACATTGTTAAATGACATTTTATGAACAAACATAATAAAAATTAAAATTCATTGCCATTTTGATAGAATTATGTTCAATCGCCAAAACCAATTTATTATTAGTTTTCTGACTCATTATTTGAAATAAAGAATCTTTTAAAAAAGAATTCAAATAATCAGTTATCTTGATAATATTTTTAAATAGATTTAAATGAATTTGAATGATAATTTTTGTCGGATTAAGTTTAGTAGACATCTTATCTATATCAATAATCTAGATCTTTCGAATCTTTATCGATGTTAAATTAATTTAGCGATGGACTTCTTGAATATTGACTCAAGCTAGGGAATTACATTGGAATGTATCTTTATCTTCAAGGTAAGAAAATCTGAATGAGATATTTCCTGTGACTAGAGCAGGTAAACCAGTTTGTTGAAATTCACATGTAATCGTTCTAAACTAGAAGGCGTCAGCTCAAGGTAATAATGTCCATACATTAAATGGCTGACGTAATTCGAATCATTCTAATCCTAACTATTAACTATTAAACATATATGTTAAATATTCAATAATCATTTTCGAACAAAAAAGATAAGCTTTCAAGAGAAAAAAGAAAAAAAACATACCAGCTGGTATAATAAATCCAATATTATACAAAAGACCAGACCATGTGGAGTATTTAGCACGATAACTTGCCGGTTGGAAGTCATTAACATATGGAATAAGAAGAGAAAATGGTCCGCTGACACTAAAAAATTACATTTAAATGAATGCAGTATAAATATTACTACTTTTTTTTCATGAAAAGTTAACTACTAAATGATTGTTATAACTCACATGGTGCCGGTAATAAATCGGAGCAGAACCAAAACAAAGTACGATTCAACGAGGCTGCTAAGAAGGTTACATAAAAGATCAATGAGCAGTCCAAAAAGAATAAATGGTCTTCGACGAATATAATCTGTGGTAAAACTCCAAAACAATGAGCTTAAAATCATTCCTATGAATTTGAAAGATTTGTTATCATTGCGACTGTGAAAGTTGCTGATATCTATTTCAATATTTTATTTACCCATATACACAGCACTTGCGAGTAAACCTTTACGAATAAATGTCAACTCAAGCTCACACTCAGCTGACGCCAAGATGAAAGCTACTGTTGTCATGTCGAAAGCACTCGCCCAGGCAATAGGAGTCGTTGCCAAAGCCAAGCCGACATTATATAGACCAAAGCCTGAATTCAGAATAAAAAGTTATCTATATTTATCATCAAAGATGTCTAACTAAAAATATTCATCGATAATCGAGTTGTTGCAAAAAGCTTGCAATCCATCAACTGCATATTTCAATTAACATCAATTGATATGTCAATACATGATAATGTGTTTGGGAATTATTATTCCGTGAAATTGCAACCAAAATGAATATTCTTTCCAATTAAAATTGAATGAAACTAGTGGTTAAATTCATTTGCAAAGACTCTTGCAACAACTAATAATAATATTTAAGAATTATTTAGCTACATACCAGTTGCTGCGATTGCTGTTTCGAAATCGGCCGATTGCTCTTTAATGTCATTTTTCACATCAATATCTAAATATCATAAATAAAATATTCTATCAATATTCTTGATTTAACTTATAAAACACTTTAACTAAAGTTATTATTTTTTTTTTTTTTACAAAAAAAAATCAATTCTCACCAATAACTTGGATTGTGCTTACACTTTGTTGAGGCTTTTTCGACACCATTATCACAATTTATTTTAAATGCTTGCCCCAAGGCCGTTATATTTTAGTATTATCATAAAATTGAATAGTTACACAAGTGGTTTCTTAAACCCACCAAACCAAATGTTTCGGAACATTCTAATCAAATATTCTGTTTTTTTTTATTAAATATAAATTAAAACTAAACGTTGAAGGTCTTTAGTCAACTTACAAACTCAAATGATACACAACTATAAAATAATCTTGTGATCGTTCTCGTAAACCTGCCAAGTAACAAAGTCAACTGAGAAATAAATACTCTGTCTCGTTGTTAAATGAACGCTCTCTAATAAAAGACAGGTCAAATGATTCTTTGGCCCTCAAGCACGTGCCTTAGATTCTAATACGTCTTTCATTAAACCACTCATATGTCATGAAATTTCACGTCAATTTCCATACTAACATAATTGAATTTTTTATTATTGTTGAATTATTTAAATAAATTAACATAAAACGCACACACACTTGATATAAAGTTGTTAGACTTAAAAAATACCGTCACAAAAAATCATCACTTTTACTTCAAGGCATTCCTTGCTCGTATAAAAGTAACATTCCGAAAAGGAAAATAATAAAATAATCGAAATTCTTGACTTCGCGATGAGTTTAAGTCGAAGACTGTCGAGAGAATCTCTAGACAGGTTTCTAAGATAAGAAAATGCCTGAGAAATGAAAGATATCTATAGAACGAATGTGAGCGTAGGAATGATCAAGTTCACGCTATGTTTATATTTTAATGCATTCAAGAGTTTGGGGAATTATTAGCGTGCGGTGTAACTAATTCAGTTTCGTGTGTGTAGTGTTGACGAGTAGCGATACATACAGATTATATAGATATATGTGACTACAATATCAGTCAGCTGCATTTAATCACTTATTGCTTCGTAGATTTATTGACGCATTATGTTATGGAATAAAAAAGAAATGGGAACAATAATATCCATTGTTACGTGCCGTTTCCAAATGGAATAATTATCTCATTATTATTATAGAAAATTACATAAGTATACAAGTTAATGAGGAATTGATTGTTTAATGTATTTTACTCATTTATGTACCGATTATTGAATTGAATTTGTCATAATAATTATGTGTTTGCTTTTTTCGTAATTATATTTTGTGCATTATGAAATCAGCATTCGGGTAACACTTTCGTCGACATTATTAATAATTTATTAATTGTCAATAATATTAATGTCATTATTAAGGGATTATCGTTATTAATGATAATGTACGTGTTTGAAATGGACTCACTTTGATTTATTTCAATTTTTTAAGATTAATTTGAGATTAAAATTAATTATATATATTCGTTACAAGTGTCAGAAAAATCTATTCAAATCTGAAAAATAATTTGAATTATTCATTTTAGGTTTGTACATGTTTTTTCATGCAAGTAGTACTTAAATCTTACAAAAACAAATAAAAATTTAACTGTCACAATAAATGAAATTAAATGAAAGTTTTGATTTCGACAAAAAAAATATTTTCGAAAATAAATATTCGAAGTAGTTAGACAACGAATTCATTTAATCAAAAGAATACACCGTGAACATAATTTTTGTACCTAATAAAATCAAAATTTTAAATCGTTGTAAGAAAAATTTTTTTTGGAATTTACATGGTAATATTTTTGTGGATTTAGTTGTAATGGTTACTTAGAATAATAAAAAAAAATAATTCCTGCCAAAATAAATTCCTAGTGTGTTCGATTATTTTGAATAGAATTATCTAAGTATTGATTAATTTTAATGTTTCATAAGATTGATCATTCTTTACGATCTATGATGTCACGAAAAATAAGACTTTATCTAATGTCACTTGTATTGAGATTTATTATAATTTTAAATCAAATATTAACATACATTTCGTTAAACTTGAAAAACGATTTGTTACAAATATTAAAAAATTTTTTTATTGATTACATAAATATTTTTTTGTACAGCAAAAATTTCTCTCTCAGTATAATATGACAATTCATTATTGAAATTACAAAATATTTAAAAATTTACTAGAAAGTTTTTTTTCTATGTTTTTTATTCTTCATCAAAAGCTTTTAAATTCTTTTCGTTTCAATTCATGATATCAGATTGCCAAAATAATACTACTAATGCTATTAGCTTGAAATTAAAATTTCCAAAACGGGTTTTCAAAGTTTTTTCATTACGAAAATGTAATAAAAATAAAAATTCGATAGCCATTTAATTCCAAAGTATTCTATAGATTGAAACTGTACAGTGACATGTGATTGTAGAGTACTACTCGATGTGGAATCCTTTTTATGTGTCACAGTCTCTTTCTCTCTTGAAATCCATGGCTTTGATTTCCCGGGCAATGGCCCAGTAGCTGTTTGTCGTGTAACTTTCGAAAGCTCCTGGAGAGTTGCTGTCTCGCGCATGGAGTCTGAATGGTCGGCTACACAGTAGACACGTTTAGTTTGAACGATGAAAGTAGCAGCAGCAAGCTTTGAACTGCTGCAGACCACGTGTCAAACATTCTCCATTTGACTTTGTCGTAGATCACCGTATGTAGTAGTAATGCTTTTATGTTCAAAGTATATCTGACAATTTAATCATTTTGACACTGAGGCTAGTCTTTCTTATCATCATCATCATCATAAAAAATCTGATATAATTTTATTATTATTGAACAAAATAATATCACTAATTATATTGAAATAATCATTTTATCTTCATTTTTTAATAGCTCATAGTCATTTATCATGATGATTTATTTTCTAGGTAAATTGAGAAATTTAACAAATCATTCCTTATCTTTTTTTTATTGTTATATTTTATCGGCAATTATTTCGTTTTGACAATCATATCAGTTATTATTAAAAAGATTATTCAAAGATCATTGCTTCATTATATATATATATATATATATGATTCAATGCTTTCTTTGCTTCTTGACGCAACAAAGAATCTCTCGATAAAAATAAAACAAGAAAGTTGTAAATATTTTATGTATATGAATTATCTAATTCTTCGAAATTATTTTCAAATAGTATATTAAAAAATTTTATTTTTTACAATGTATCTAAAAAAACCGAACGTTTTTTATTCAATCATTTAAGTGTGTTTTAAAAGGGTTGAAGTTTTCAACGAATAAAAAAATTATAATAATAACGGTAAATACAAAACTCTGATTATCTTGGTCGTGTCTCTCACAATGAAAAATTAGTACTTAGGAACGGTTAAATATAAATTAAATGTAAAGAGTTTTTCCTACCTAGTATGCAAATATTAAAAGAAAAATTATCAGGGAAGAACAATATTGATATTTTTTACAGAATTGTTGGTAGGAAAAAATAAAAATGTTGATGAACTTAGCTGAAGCAATGTGACATCTTTTTTAGCTCAGTTTGCATCTTTTATTAATTATAAAAAAAAAGTTTTATTTTTGTACTGCAACTCTCAATTTTTATCGTATATTCATCGTATTTATAACTAAATTTTTCTAAAAAAAACAATTAATGTTTATGAAATAAACTCTGACGGCTTACTTGAGGTGTTTAATCTTCCCCTCTCATTTCATTTTAAACTGTATCTTCTAAATAGACTTGGTATAATTTTAGATTATATAGTATTTAATATTTAATTGTTGAGTTCATTCTCTGAATATCTAGTGTATGCTAAAATACATAAATAATTTATTATATGACAATTTAATATTAAATACATTTCAAGATGTGTTATTTTATATGCTTTGATTTATAGTGTCTCCATACAGAGTATTCCTGGCATGGGATTATCATCCAGTCATTTTCCACTAGAGAAATCATTCATCATGATGACTCAGTTGTGGGTAATGACCGGATTACACCATGCCAGGTATGATCTGTATAAAAATTTATACAAATTAATAAATCGAGGTATGCTAGTGGATATATATTTTATGTGCACATGAAATAATTTTATAGGATGTTTATGGTGTTTAACATTAAACACGTTTATGAGTTTACTGTAACATACTTAGATTTATAGTGCAAATCAAAATGGACTTGACTATATGTTAAACAGGGGTAATAAATACATTATAATTCCAACTATTTCGATGGAAGTGATTGAAAATGAATTTTTTGTGTAAAATATATTGTTTCAACTATAATAAATACCTTCCAATCAATTAAAAGAAGACATATATTCCAAGATCGCTGTTTACAACTAAAGCAGGAGTATTCAATTCCATGTATGCTTAATGATTAGAACAGAATTTTTGCCAGGGATAATGATGTTTTTTAAAAAAGATTTTGATTATTAAATAACGATGATTAATGAAATAATAATAATAATAATAATAATAATAATAATAATAATCATTTGTTGGTATCGAGAAATTATCAATAAGATATTATCAATAACAAAATAATTTTACAGAACAAAGTGATGTTGATATAGCTGAACAATATATCAGTTCTTCAAAAGACAGATACAAAATTAATATACATAATCATTGATCAATTGATACAAGATATTATGCAACTTAAAATTTTTTTTTATTAATTACAAGCACTCTTCTAAAAACATTTCTATGCATTGCTTTTGATAATGACATCATTGCAATTATTATTATTAAAAAAACAAACACTAGTTTATTGAATATTTGAAAAAAAAATAATAAATAATAAATAATAATATTCTGTAAAAAATCTTGAAACCTAACGAGAATGCTTTTAATCACAAAAAAGCAACTGAATTAGATCGTGTTTAAAAATAAAATTATCGAGAATAAAGTAAATAAAAGTGGATTGTCCAATATGTCTTCATCAAATCGCAAGCTTAAAACCATTGGACTAATTTCAAAGCTTCTACAATCGTTGACATCTTCCGCTGAAACTGGGTCAAAAGTGCAAATAAACGATACACAAAACGTTCAAATGAAAGAGATTAACTTCAGCTTCTCGGTAGACAATTATTTCTCTGGATGCGTTAACCGGTATAGAATTTTACGAAACAGTATCTATATCTTCTCTGGCTTATTTCTTCCAGCTTCCTTTAATCTTGACAGTTATGCAACAAACTCACTAATGAGTTTCTCGAGTATTCGATCTGGAATGCAAGTCTTATTCAAACTTACTGTCGCCCTTAAGTGCTACTACACTTATGTCTTACTTTGCATACCTCATTTTATTTTGTAATTAACGTGAAAACAAAATTTCAGAATAACTAAATATCACACAACCTGAAAACCTCATTCATGTATTATTCATTTTATTAATAAATAAATAAGAAAGATAGCATTTATGCCTGAAAATTTTTTGAAAATAAAATAGTTTGTTTTGCATTGAAAATATGTATATATATATTTTTTTTCTAGTTATCACTTTTTATTTTTCAGTTTTTATACGAACAAAAGGATGCAATAATTTTCTCTATTCAGAATAAATGACGAAATTGAAAAATATATTTGTACGACGTAAATAATTAAAAACATTTTATGAGTATCCACAGCCTTTGGAAGATTAAAAAATATTTGTTTTTATTATTGGATAGCAAATTTATTTATATTAAATAAAATTCTCTTTGTGAAAATTTTTGGACAAATTAAAAACTCTAGGGGGAATAAATAATACCTAAGGCTATAAATATATTTAAATTCGATTAAAATATACCAAATTATTAGATAAAAATAAAAATATTTAATTCAATAATCAATTACAATTCAAAAGCTGTTTTTTTTCATTCTCATGATAGATTAATTGTATCAATTACATTCAC